GACAGTGGGAATTCGAGTAAATGCAAGCCATAGCAACACAATCGGTGTGGCTTAGTAGCTCAATTGGCTGAGTGTGTATTGTACGAGTGGGCGATCTCCAGGCGTAGGTTTAGATCCCACCGAGGCTCCTGAACTCTTAACGATTCGCATATAACACTTCAATCTGCAGAAGAGTAAAACGTGAACAATTAGATATCTATCGTTCATCAAAAACTTCCTTTCAAATCAACCATACGATCGTAAAAGTTGACATCTGCACTTTAAAATATTTCAACCTGTCTAAACTCAGTTGTACGTTTGCGCAATACAGTTCAACTATGACCCTGCCACAAACCTCAAATGGATGAGTAATTTATATAGTGCGAAATTCACAAATGATGCTCGCATAAATAAAACTTATCTGGCATATGTTGGTAATAAGGGAATCCACAGGGTGGGGTGGGGTAGGGGGAAGGTCACCACGAGATTACAGGGCATTTTTGGTTTTTCTAATTGGACAATGAACAGTCGGATGAAGCTGTCCTGAACCACTGGCGAGTATATGTAGATGGAGGAGACATATGCCGTAAAGGTGATTCCAGGGTCTTTAGCTGCTTCAACAGAAATCTCAAATCTATCCAGTCCTGGTCAACAGGTGTGATGGACAACCTATCAGTCTATCCAGCCTCCATGGGTACCGTTTCATTGACTCAATGAAAGTGGATTTCTGTCAAAGATGTGAGAACAATTTTTTATTTTTTGCCGATGGTCATTAAAAGATGCGCTTGGCGTAACTGCTGAGGTTTATGGTAAAGGGTTTATACTCCATTTCGCCTGTTCGCCGAGCTTGGCAATTTGTTTGCAAACGTTTCATCACAAGCCGAGGTGACGTCATCAGTGCTTGAGAAGTGATAGTGTTCTGCTTGTATCCGTTCGTTTATATGTGTTCTTCTCCACTGACAAAAATAGGCGTACAAAAATAGTTGGTGGATAACATATAAACGAACGAATACAAGCAGAACACTACCACTTCACAAACAATGATGATGTCACCTCGGCTTGTGATGAAACGTTCGCAAACCAACTGCCAAACTCAGCGAACAGGTGACTTGGAATTCAGTTCATCCGGGCTACGAGAACCGATTTTCAATAGTTTGTCAACAGGGTTAATACTGAAAATCGATCAATTTGACCAGTGAATCTGTATTTTGTTATTCAAGCATGATAGCCGAAGCTAATATAAGCGACATGATGATAGCAAGAATCCATCACACAAGATGTTCTGTGCATATCTAAGGAGCCAACTGAAGTAGGTGTTTATGGTAAGGCTTACCTCCAAGCCCTTATCTGAAATATGTCGTTACTGATAGGCGCAAACATTAAAGACAACAACAAACCTGCACATCGCTGCACACGGTTTTCATATGCATTGCAATATGGAATGGAAAATCATGCGAAAACAATCCGATTCGTCCACATAGAGAGAGCAATATCGCACACAAAACGTCGATGCTATACAGCGGAAAGTCAAAGGACAAAACTTTCGGAGACTATTTTTCGGGCATCGTTTGAGCACTGAATATGAGCATAGGGAATGGGCTGTGACGAAATTCATCATGCGACACAGTTTGACTCTCGTAAAGCAACTAATTATTGATGCTTGGTAATGCGGAGTACAAACTTACACTGTTAGTTCGCGATTTGTTTGATCCCGCCCTATTGGTTTTCGGTTTATCGGCCTCGGCGGATTGTTTTCCACGGGCTTTTTGTTGTATATTCGCATATTTATAAGAAAGTAAAACCTGACAAAAGGCGCATGAGAGAGGGAGAGAGTGAACGGTGCACTGTTCCAGCACTGAAAAACAGAAACACGATAAGCACTAAGCGGAACCGCTTTATCCTAATCTAATCTAGTGTTTTAAATGACGAGCAATTATCTGCTTCAATGTGAAGAAAACCAAATCTATGTGAACATTATCCATAACATGTTAGAGAAGAGGCTCAGAATTATAAACAGATAAAAGTTGATCAATATTTTTAATTCTTTTTTTTCGTTTACTGAGTATGCGCGGTCAGCTTTCAGTAAGGCGGCGGTGGCCATGCAAAGGCTGTCTCGTGAAATACAGAAATTGAGAAAACGAGTCGGTGAGCGAACAATTGTTTTCGGATATTCTTAGTCATGCTCTTACATATCATATGGTGGAAAAAATTCTTACATAATCATAGCCATTGGCTCATTTTAAAGTCGATATTGGGGGGTGGAGAGTAATGGGAGTGTGTATGTATATGTGTGTGTGTGTGTGTGTGTGTGTGTGTAGGAATGTTTAACGTGTT